GGAGCTCTTTGGGCTGGGCTGGACTCGCTCAGCCTGATATCCGATCTCTCCCAGGGGAAAGACCGCTTTCCAGCAGCAGTTTCTCCCTGCCTGGCACCTAGAATCAGCTTTTCCTTCCGAGCCCCTGAATAAGTTTAGTTCACTAGGAATAATACTGGGATGCATCTTAGGTCAAGCAGAGGGAAAAACAACCAACCAACCAACCAACAAAAACATTCCTCTCTCCGACAAATTTGTATTTAAGTTATTACAAAGAGGTTTGCATATTTATTTTTTAATCTATATCTATATTCTGTTTTCCAACCTCCTTTCCAAAACCAAAAAGCAAAGACATTATGCTAAAGCCAGTTCCTGAACATGCTCTTCAAGAGCTGGCATGCTGCTAGCATACAACCTCACCCCTTCTTACACAAATATATAAATCAGTATCTTAAAATATCATTGCTTCTTGGATATTTTCAGTGAGAGAACTAATGAACAGATGTTTCACTGGAAGATGCAGAAGGTGGCATAGGACCAGATTTATGTCTTTGTTTTGAAAACTTTAGCATTGAGATAAATTTGTTAAAATGTGTTCTCAGGTTTACTATGTTGCTCTGTGTCCTGGACCTTTGGTAATGATTAAACTTAGTGTGTTCTTCTGATTTACAGCTATCCAGAGTTGCATGGGGTTACCAAGGACCTTAGGTGTGTACTAATGAGCAGAGGTGATGGGTGATCATTGTGGAGATAAAACTGTCTCAGGAGTGATGGTGTCAGTGTGCTGTTGTTGTGAATAATCTTTAAAACTTTCTCCATTATGTGTGAAGGACATCCCCTCAATTAAGGGCTTTGGTAGTTTGCTTAATTCGGCATTGCTATGGTCAGCAGGTTTGCAGTGAAGAACAACTCTGCTGGATTTCAAGGTACTGCTATTACAGTTAGCTGACCCAAATCCTTATTTTTACATCTCCTTTCCCTAAAACTTCTAAAAAAAACTGCTTTAGCATGTTTTCTGTAAAGGGCTTTCTACATTTTGAAAGCTGAGGAAAATGTCACCATCCTTTTCTTCAAGGTAACTAATGTTTCAGAGAGGATGGATTATAAATCCTTTCAGTCCTGCTGGACAAGAAATATAAAAAACTTATTTAACTTCCTGGCAAACTCGAGTTGCCCAGTGCCCAGCAGCAATGTCATGTGGCCTAACTATCGAGGTTTCAGCTAGTGAAAATTCTATAGCCTACAGGTAGGAGACACTATGGTTGTGATTCACTATAATATAAAACCCAAGAGAATAGGGAAGGTACCCAGTGGCAGTGCAATAGGACAGAGAGCTTCCAATTTGTGTGTTGTACCACTTAAAACTTCTGATAATATAAATTGTTTTGACCTTGTGAGCTACAATCCAATAGCTCTGGTTGTGTAGGTGTATGACACAACACAAACAGCTAAGTCAGGTTGTATTCTAATATACTTACAAGCAATAAATAAAATAAAATTAAAAAAAAAAAAAAAAGAGAGAAGTCTTTCACTTTGTCCTTCATTTTTCTCACCATGCCTCCCCTTCAACAACAGCACTACTGCCCATTTCCACCAGTGCAGTGTAATGCACGGGTACATCAACAGTCCAGCTAACATAATGAAAGTAATATTAGAATTCACTCTATTCCTAGCCTCTTCTGTATCCCACAGAAAGGTACACCTGTGTAACAATGAAGATATATGTACAAAAGGAGAGGAACTTTTAACTCAATTGCCAGTTTCTTAGACTTTGTGAAGACATTTGCATTACAGACTGGGCAGCATGAATCCCTCTTTCTCCTTCATCTAAATGGCTGCAGGAGGAGTAAAGGAACAAAGAATCAAGTGCTACAAATCGCCCTGAACTTACTGTTCCTCGTATCTTAGTCAGGGATCCAAAAGGTAATTTCCTTTGTAGTTAAGTATTTTCGGTACTGACAAAACAAAAAAAGATGTCTGCTCTACCCGCATTGTCTCTCTGTCTCCAACTCTCTCCTCCCCTCCCACAGACTTCCATGAGAACATTAGCAACCCTCGCAGAAACGAGGTTTATCAAAATCTCAATGAATCCCATAGTGTTTTCACAGACTCTCATGTGAAGGGTTAATTCATAGATGTCTGATCACAAAGCTTCCTGTGAGGCTGTAGTAGCCAACTGAAGTAATCACGATGCTACTACAGTCAAGTGGCTGGAGAATTTACCTTACAGCACAGTCAGTTATAACACTCTCTGGAAGAATGTAAAAAGATAAATCATCATACAATCTAGTCTACATTACCACTGGAGTATACAGTCCTGAGGTTAATGATGTGATCGGTAACCTCAGACAGAATGAACAGCTTGCATTGCATATTCACGTGCATGGCTCCTCTTATTACAAAGCACATGTTCTCTTCAGTTGGTAATATTCTGCACGAGCGCAGCCTCCTTCAAATACCTCAAAACCTATTTAAAACAGCAGTAACACAGCTCCTGAAGTAAGTGTAACATCACAGCAACAGTCACGACAGCTGTGATGGCCTGTGGGTAGTTAGCAAGGTTCCTAGGGAAAGGATTAACCAATAAGCAAGATTTTTGCTTAACTGATAAATGTGGGAAAATAAGACATACTTTTGCACACACAGGCTGCTGCTCAGGTGAGGTGCTGAAGCATCACTCTTTAAAGGAGAGTGAAATTTGAAAATCAGGTAGGAGTATTTTCTTCATTGCACAGACGAGCTACTACAGCATCTGAGTGCTTGGCACAAGTTTTTAAAAATTACTTGCCTTCTTTCTCCTCCTCTATTTTTTCAACCTTCCTATTTCTTGTAAGACGATTCCCCCTGATGCTGCTGCTGCTCAGACCTTGTGTTTAATCCACTTCCCTGCACTGGCCTTCCACACAAACTATCCATGTTCAGTCTTCTGTAGTCTTCACTACTCTCCAGCCTACCCACATTTAACTGCTTTCCTTTAAATTTCTGCACTGCTCACACCTTCCTGGTGCTGAGGTGTACAGAAATGCATGTGGAGATCTTGTGCCTTCCTTGCAAGGGTTGAAACTGAAGTAATCATGCACAGTGCAACATAACTCAGTGGAAAGACGGATTATTACTGGTTCAGACCACAGCCTACCACCTCTGTGGGCACAGTGCCACGCAGAACCTCAAAGCCTCTTGCCCCTGAAGCCCAGTGGGGAAACTTGCAGTAGCTCCTCTGCATGTGGGTGCGTTGCCCCCCCCCCTCCTCACGGTGCTGCTGGAGGGGCCATGAGCTTGCAGGGGCAGGGAAAAAGGGCTATGCCAAAGGGGTCCCGCCTGCCTCACCGAGCTCTCCCTGGCAAAACGGAGCCAG